ACCTGTGACCTACTTTCCGAGACCATGTTTGGCCGGAATCACGATTCGGCGTATGTCGACTCGCATTAGCCGCGCTTTTGCAAGCTTTTCGTGCTTTGAAACGTTCAAACATGTGATTTGATGTTGCTCCCATGCATTAGGGTGGATGTCAAGGTCACCTGAAGGTCAGGTCAGGTCAGTGACCTTTGATGACCTCGGTTCACTTTTTCGAGTTTTACATGTTTCTAGGCCAGTTTTTGGAGCTGAATTCGAATTTAGCAACCCGATGAACATTTACGAAGCCTAGTTTTAGTGCCTTTGTAACATGTTACGAAGCTGTCAGAGGCGGTTGACACCTACTAGGAATACCCGGCAGGACCCCTACTGGTTGACCTGACCTGACCTGACCCGACCTGGACTAAACGCATGAAGACATCATCTGTGATCAAAACTCACATGATATCATTCGGATCAGCACCCCGAAAAACCCCAAAGCAGCCACACTTTACGACGTTCTAACAGGTCCCGATTTTCCCGATTTTCGGGTCATTGACCTGACCTGGAAGGTCACCCGATGACCTAGGACATTAAAATTGGATATCATCGGCTTCCTCTCGTGACGGGCAGCACGCTCGTTTTTTCCGCGAAGCTCTAGCTCGATCAGGGGCCAAACGCGAGGGGGGGTCGTACCAACCCCCCCCCCCTTGTGCCGTCGAAGGACTCAAAATGGCCTGTGCCGGCGAGTGTTAAGGTCCTAGGTCGTCATCACTTGACCTTCCAGGTCAGGTCAATGACCCAAAAGTCGGGAAAATCGAGACCTGTTAGAGCATCGTAAAGGGTGGCTGCTATGTTTTTTCGGGGTGATGATCACGAATATCATGTTAGTTATGATTATAGATGATGTCTTCATGCATTTAGGCCAGGTCGGGTCAGTTCAGGTCAGGTCAACCAGTAAGGGTTTTGCCGGGTGTTCGTAGTAGGTGGCAACCGCCTCTGACAGCCTCGTAACATGTTACGAAGGCACCAAAACTACTTCGCAAACGGTCAAATGGTTGCTAAATTCGAATTTAGCTCCAAAAACTAGCCTAGAATCTTATAGAACTCGAAAATGTGAACCGAGGTCATCAAAGGTAAATGACCTGACCTGACCTTCCGGTGACCTTGACACCCACCCTAATGCATGGGAGCAACATCATATCCCATGTTTGAACGTTTGAAACCACGAAAAGACTGCAAACGAGCGGCTAATGCGAGGCGACATGCGCCGAATCGCAATCCCGGCCAAACATGGTGCCATGGTGCTAGGCCGCCGGTGCATCTGAAAGAACTGTGGGTGCCCCTGACAAGCCTGAAGTTCCAACGACAGGCCCGTGGTGCCCCTGACAGGCCCATGATGCCCTTGCGAGGCCGTTGGTGTCCCTGCTAGGCCGGTGGTGCCTCTGCTAGGCCGCTGGTGCCCCTGGGCCCTGAGAGGACTGTGGTGCTCCTGACAAGCCTGGAGTGTCCCCGACAGGCACGTGGTGCCACTTACAGGCCCAAGATGTCCCTGCGAGGCCGGTGGTGCCCCTGCCAGGCATGTGGTGTCCCTGCTAGGCCTCTGGTTCCCCTGACAGGCCTGTGGTGTCCCTTGGCCCTGACAAGCTTGAGGTGTCCCCGACAGGCCCGTGGTGTCGCTGACAGGTCCGTGGTGCCCTTGCTAGGCCTGTGGTGCCTCTGGCAGGCCTGTGGTGCCCCTGGCGGGCCTGTGGTGGTATCCCTGACAGGCCCAAGGTGGCGCCCCTGCGAGGCCGGTAGGGCCTCTGGCAGGTCTGTGGTGCCCCTGGCAGACCTATGGTGCTCTTCCTAGGTCGATGGTGCTCCCAACAAGTCTGTGGTGCCCCTGACAGGCCGGTGGTGCCCCAGGCAGGCCTGTGGTGTCCCCGGGCCAAAGGGGGCGGGGGTCATAACCCATATGACCCACCATTGGATCCACCACTGGTCATTACTTGCAGACTAACTCATTTGACATCCATTGCAAAACAAGTCACAGTTGTATGTTTGTCACCGTGTTCCTTTATGCCCATTTTTATAGTGGGCACATCTCGACGACTGGGGGGGCAATTCTGTTGAGTGCGGGGGCATTTGCCCCCCCAGTTAACATGTTAAAATAGGCCCTGGCTCCTCTGCATAAGCTTCAGAAACTTAATTTTAAGAAACACTACGCATTTTTATCTACTTCTGCTAATCTTATTTAGGTCTCAAAGTGACAAAGTCTGTTGAGAAATATAGATATAGGTATAAGTAGTGTGGCCGAGATGAGTACGCTCATCGCTCGGTGCAGCAGTGGCGACAGCTATAGGCCGATAGGCCGACGGGTGCTGCCGCCTGGTGGCGCAACTCTTAGCCACAAATTACAGGTAGTTGAGACAGAGGACAGGACGTGCGTACTGCGTAGCATAGCTTGGGCACGGATCACATAACGGATCGGCAACTCCCCCCCGCGACCTGTCTCCCCTGCCACCTGGTGGGCATTTAAGTGAACTATCTTCACTAAGGAAGCGGCCGGCCTCGTGCGTGTTGAGGGCGTCGTGTCGGAGCTAATTAAGTGATTTTTCTGCGGAACATGGTTTCTCAGCTAGCTTAGAAGATACCTATGGTATAAATGAGGATGGCAAGAATCGTTAGAGACAGGTTAAGTATTTGAGATTGTATCCTTTGTCATGAAAATCGTTGTTTTCATACCCACGTGGGCGACCTAGCGTCCATCGTGAAATGGGTAATTTTCCGATCGCTGTCATCTCTTACATATATTTCATGAGTATATTTTTGATAAATATTCATCTCCCGATTAAATCAAACCTGTAACTTTCACAACTTTCACTGTAACTTCTTCAGCTTGTTTCATACGGCGCTGAAGAAGTCAATAGACGAAACCGGTACGCCTTAAATGTAACTGTTTTAATAGTTTGATTCGTGGAGCCTGGAGGTTCATGTACTCTCGATACATTTCACAAATATACTTGCACAAAGTAAAAACCCACGCCGGGCCGGTACACGGTACCAACCGCGCCGGGTCGAGGGTGTATGAAACCCCCGCCCGTCCCCCCCCCCCCTAACTCGGCTTCTGGGCCACGTAGCCACACGGGGTAAGCGGCATTCCAAAGAGCGTAAAAATAATGGCGGAAATACTTCAGTCATTTTTTAGGTCAGGTCAAAGGTCAGGTTACCAGAGGTCATTAAAGGCAAATTTTGTCCATTTCAACAGTTTTCGAAACACCCGACGCATAACTTGAGAACCAATAGAATACAGCGCCGCGGTAAAGCGCACTCTTTCACAGGTCTTTCTGAGTTTTATTCATAGATTTGAACTCAGGTCAACGGTGTAGCCTCCAGAGGGCAAAAACTCCAAAAGAGGCGTGTTTACGAAAAACTTTTTTTTCGGTAATAACTTTTGACTTAAACGAGCCACGACATTACTTTTGCCAGCATCGTGTTCCTCTCGTCGTCGAGACGCGTCGAATGAACTATACTCGTAGGTTGACCTTGAAAGGCCATTTTGAAAATTTTACGTCAGGCCAAGGTCATAACCTGACCGGAAAGGGTCATGCTGCATATCAGTCGATCCGTATCGTCGAGCTGAACACATCTGACGTGTTTTCATCGCTCTAGCACGTGTGTCAAAAGTTATAGTAAAAAAAAAACTGCTGTTGACCGTTTTCATGCCACTGTTAACATGTAACCCGATGTTTGAGGGTGTTAAGAATGACCCGCCCAGACCAAATGAGACGCCTTTCAATTTGCTCTTATTGACTTATTATTAGTATTATATATATTATTATATATAGAGAGAGAATGTTGAATATGAGGGATATATGAGGGAATATGAGGAATATGATATAGCGTGCAAAATGACCTGACCTGGCTCTAAGCCACAGATATCTTGAGATGTAACACGTGGCTAAACCAGCCTCGGGGCCAAAGCTATAGTCACTGCTTAGCGGCACGCTGCTACCCAGTACCTAACATCATCAGGTATGGGTGCCTCCGTCCCTATGGAAACGTAAGCAAACTTCACAATGTTGCCAACGTCTTAATGAAAACCGGCTAAGTGTCGATACCCTGTAGCGGCGGGGAGGGTCGTATCGTGAAACAGGGGCCGAGGTCCACCTATAGTCTCGTTAATGGCCAGCTCGTTGGATTTGCTCCGATGTTATCTAGGTACTCCAACTGGTAGCCGGTGACCGTCTAGATAGGAACAGGGGATGAACTCGTACTATGGGCAGACGGATGAGGAAAGGTCTTCGTGTACCTACGGCCAAAAACGACGTTAAAGTTGCGAGGACGTGCTTCTTGCTCATACAACTCAAGCATAACTAGAAACATTTGGATCATTATGCATGCTCCAGCTGATTAGGGAATAAAGTATGTAACATTTCCATGTTATGGTAACATTCCAGCTGTTACAGAGACTCCGTAATTTAATCCGTTCTTAACCTTGGTTTGTTTTTGTTTTGTTGGGTTAGGCCCTTTCGGTCCATTGAGACCATTGCAGAGCCGGAAGGATTATAGGAATTGGGGTAAACATTGGTATGGACAGGCACCCTAGAGAGTCACCGGGGCTGAGCCCGTCCGAATGGACAGGCCGACCAGCCCCCCAAGCACTCTCTGCACCCGGCTACGGGTGTGCTCCCATGGGAGCAGTGGTGCGCTTCAAGGGAGCAGCCCGCATGAGATAAAGTTGCCTGTCCAGCCCGGATCAAGAGTTGCTGCGTGGAGGAGAAGGATTTGAACTTGATCTGAACATCCTGAGGATGGAAACGACGGACGGGTGTTGCGTTCACACCGGTTTCCCCGTGCCTTTTAACACTGGTTGCGGCGGGCGGCCGGCTCCCCTCCTTAGTGAAGATATCCGCGCCGCTAGATGGCAGCCCGCTCCGCGGGTACACCGATAACAAAGGGAATCGGGGAGAGTTGCCGATCCGTTAGGTGATCCGTGGCTTGGGTGTGGTCGGCGTCGGTCGGCGTGGCGGGTTTTGACACGTGAACGGCGCAGCTGAGGCGAGTGCGGCGATGACGTGGCAATGTTGAGTTGGATTTGTTGTGACTGCGTGGCGGTCAGTTGTTGGTTTGATGCAAGGCTATATAAACGGTTTGATGGCTCCCGTGCCTGTGTTGGGAGAGCTTTGATTCCCAGACATTGGTGCCGAAACCGCCGGGAGGTGACCAGAAGATTTCAGCTGTGTTTGTGAGCTGAAAAGGTGGTGACATTTGTTTGTTATTAGCCTACTGATTTGATGGCTGATTTTTTTGTCACCCTGAAGAGTTAAAGTGATAAAAGTTGATCAGTCAAGCCTGGTGATTGGTGAGGATAGACCTTGACCCAGGTTCTGAAGCCCTGGCCTGGTGTTCCGAGTTCTGACTTTCGAAGGATAGGCCATTTTGAGTTGTTTTGGCCTTGGCGGAACTTTGGACGTGTTGACCAGTGGCCCTGGCTGGTGTTTTGAGACCACGTGACTGTGGTGAAGCCTCGTTGAGTGCAGAAGTGATCCTAAACCTGCTGAAGCTTCATGATTGGTTTCTTGGACTTTTGTTTGTTTCTTTGAGCCATTAATTTGATGTGTGAAGACCATAACTTGTGTTTCTGATAGTTGTGGCAATGGCGCAGGATCTTACAACACTTATCAAGAGGAGAGTGGCTGCCAAAGGGTGGCTAACACGGACCATCAGTCGTGCGAACGACGCCATGAAGGAAGATAAGCCTGATCGTGATGTGTTGAAAGACATTAAGAGAGAACTGGAGATGCGCCTCAACACGCTGGACGAGATCCAGGGTGATCTGGAGATGATGATTGAATCTGAGTCAGAAATGTTGGATGATATAGAGAAAGCTGGATGCTTCCGTGACTCTGTAGTTGGTGTTATCTCGAGTGTGAGCAAGGTGGTGGCTCGGGGGGAGACTGGGTCTGAGACTGGTGTCTCTGGCAGTCAGAATGTGAAGCTGCCAAAGCTGAACTTACCAAGGTTCAAGGGTGATGTGCTAGAGTGGCAGTCTTTCTGGGAGATGTTTAAAGCTGCTGTACACGACTCAGACCTACCCGATGTGACTAAGTTTTCATATTTGAGATCCTTGCTGGATGGGGAGGCAGCCATGTGCATTGCAGGGTTACCATTGAGTGCAGATAACTATGCTGCTGCATGTAAACTGCTGGCTGACCGCTTCGGTAGGACTGAACGGATCATATTTAACCATATTCAACAGCTGCTCTCCATCCCTGCCCCCTCTGTACCTGACGTGCATGTTCTGAGGGGTTTACAGGATAAGCTGTTGACTCATGTGAGGGCTTTGGAGGCGCTAGGTGTGAAGGGTGATGCATATGGTGTGATGCTAGTACCTGTGATTTTACAAAGACTGCCATCTGCCATTAGGATGGAGTGGGCACGGGATGGCGTTGGACATGAGAGTGACCTGAGTTGGTCACTGGAGTTCCTTGACTCAGAGATCGGGCGACGCGAGAGATCAGGTACCTACTCTCAGCACCTGGCTGCTCCTGCTGCCTCGGAGTCGAGGCGCAGCCAACGTGTGACCCGACCACAGAGAGCCTTGCACCAACGAGCCCCTGCAGCTGCTGCGGCTCTCCAGGCTGTCTCTACAGTCTGCTCCTTCTGCGGAGGACAGCATGTGCCAGCTAAGTGTGCTCACTTTTTGTCGATTGATCCAAAGGCAAGGTACCAGGAAGTAAGGGCTAAAAATGTGTGTATGTCCTGTCTGCAGACTGGACATCATGCGAAACAGTGCGCTAAGAGATGTGACTGTGGTGGCAGACACCACCCTCTACTGTGCTGGTGTAGGGGAACTGATGGCCCGGTGGGATCCAGGGGTGGTGAGGGTGCAGGTAGACCTCCTCAGTCCACCTCCTTCAGACCTCAGCGGTCTGATGGGGGAATGACTCAGTCATGTCAGGAGCCACAAGCTAGAGTGTCTCTGTCTTGTACTACGGGTAGTGTGTCACTGCTTCCCATCGCTCATGTACTTGTTGAGGGCAAAGATGGCCCTGTACCTGCTACCCTGATTTATGACAGTGGGGCTGACAAGAGTTTTGTGACCGAGAGGCTGATGAAACAAGTGAAAGGGGAGTATCAGGGGTCAGTGGACATAACATGTGCATCGTTTGGTGGGGGTAGAACCTCAAATGTGTGTAATGTGTATGAGCTCAATGTTTCTGCCGCAAATGCTGCTTGTGTGCCGACAGCTACTAAAGTTCGAGTGGTGGAGGTGCCAGTGATATGCGCGCCACTGATGCGGCCTCGAGTCCCTGCCCAGCTCCTCCAGCCCTTCAGCCATCTCCAGCTCGCAGCAGACTGCACGTCGGACTGCCCACTGCACATTGACATTGTTGTTGGACAAGACCAGTACTGGTCACTGGTAAGATCTGGACTTGTCAGAGGCCCTGACGGGCTGGCTGCTATGGAGACACCATTTGGGTGGGTCCTCTCTGGTTCAGTGGAGGGGGGCCCTGCTGGTGTTGACTCAGGTATGGGATGTCAACTGCTTCTGATGACCGCCCCAACTCCCAGTGCTAGTGAGATGTGGTCTCGGGATGGGTTTGATCCTGGTACTGAGATGGAGTCTGATGATGATGATGCCGTGTTGAAGGCGTTCAACAAGTCCATCCAGTATGATGGCAGCAGGTACGTTGTTAGTGTGCCCTGGAGGGACAACAAAAGTCAGTTGATGGAGAATCGTGATTCCGCACAAAAGCGGCTGATGAGTCTAGAGCAAAAACTGGACAGGAACCCCCAGCTGCGAGCTGACTATGATTCAGCTCTCAGTCAGATGGTAAGTGATGGTGTCATCAGTGAGGTGCCACCTGATCAGATGACGACCAGTGACGTCATGTTCTATCTCCCGCACAGACCAGTGGTTAAGGAAACCAGTAGCACAACAAAGGTGCGACCTGTCTTTGACGCTAGTGCAAAGGGACCCAACGGTATCTCTTTGAATGATGTAGTCCATGTGGGACCCTCTCTGATGCCGAACCTGCTGGAGGTGTTACTTCGTTTCAGACGATGGCGGTTCGGGTATTCGGCTGACATTGTGAAAGCATTTCACCAGGTTCGTCTGACGTCACATGACCGAGATGCCCATCGCTTCCTATGGAGACAAGGGGGCCAGATTCGGACCATGCGGTTCGAGCGGGTGACGATGGGTGTCGCCTGCAGCCCGTTCTTAATGAACGCCACCATCAGGTATCACCTGTCGCTGTACCCAGAGAGTCCGGTCGTCACCGAACTGAAAGAGTCGCTGTATGTTGATGACCTGCTGTCAGGCTCGGATACAGAACAGGGTGCTGTGGAGATGTTCCAGGAGGCTCATGAGATTATGAGAGCGGCTGGGATGGAGTTGTCCAAGTGCAACAGCAACTCATCTGTGCTGGCCGAAAAGTGTCGAAAGGGACATGTGACCACAGAAAGTGTGATGAAGGTTCTTGGGGTGACCTGGTGTAAGGAGGAGGATGTTTTCTCTTTCACAGGAGACGAGCTGCCTGCTGGCATAGTGCCAACGAAGCGTGTGGTCCTCAGCATGATGGCGCGGATCTTCGATCCAGTGGGATTTTTGACGCCATTTAGTGTGGTCGCTAAATGCCTGTTTCAGGAGCTGTGGGAGCTCCAGCTGGAGTGGGACGATGAGCTGCCGCCTGAATATGCAGAGGTGTTCACCAGGTGGTTGGACGGTTGTCAGATTTTGAAGAACATGAAGGTCCCACGATGTTTCACAGTGCACTCTGTTTCAGACTGGTCAGCTGCACCGTCTCTCGAGCTGTGTGTATTTGCTGATGCATCCCCAAAGGCGTATGGTGCATGTGTGTACATCCGTATCAAACAGCCTGATGACTCGTACAGCGTCTCCTTCGTCATGTCGAAGGGGAGGGTGGCCCCCCTGCGTCAGCGGCTCACGATGCCGCGCTTGGAGCTCTCGGCCTGTGTGCTGGCGGCTCAACTGGTGCAGTTTGTTCGTACGGCACTGCACTTGCCTGATGACACACCGTACAGGTGCTGGAGTGACTCCATGATTGCTCTGGGATGGCTACGTGGTAACCCGAGCAGGTGGAAGCAGTTTGTGTCCAACCGGGTCAGCGAGATCCAACGGCTTACTGACACAAAGAACTGGTTGCACTGCAGGTCAGCCGAAAATCCGGCGGATCTCATGACACGCGGCCTGTTAGCAGAGGATCTGGTGGCATCCCCTGTGTGGATCAGCGGACCCGACTGGTTGAGGGAGGCTGATGGTGATCCGAGCGTGACGCGAGAGCCGGAGGTTGGTCTGGATATGACCGAGAGCACTTCTGTCCCGCAGAGACCAGACGCAGAGCCGGATTCGACTCCGGACCAGGGACAGGACCTTGACACTGATGGTCAGAAAGAGGCTGATTCTCTGGATTCCCTACCAGAGTCAATTGTTTGTGACAATGTTGGTGTTTTCACGGCGGCGAGTGTAGCAGCGGGTAACACATCCGATTTTCTGCAGGTGGAGCGCTACAGTACGCTCAGCCGAGCAACCCGTGTCATGGGCTGGATCTTGAGATTTGTTCACAACGTGAGACAAAGATCGCAGCGCCGTCAGGGAGATCTCTCAGCCGAGGAGTTCTCGACGGCTCGCGTGGAGCTGTTACGCTTGGTGCAGGCGGACAGTTACCCTGAAGAACTGAAACTGCTCAGGCAGGGCAGTCCGGTGCACCGAAGTTCCCAGATTTACAGACTGACGCCGTTTCTCGGCGATGACGGGCTGCTACGTGTGCGCGGCCGTTTGCAGTTGTCAGAGTTTTCCTACGAGGAAAAGCACCCGGTGATTTTGCCAAAAGGTCACCTGGCCGTCCTGATTGTTCGTGAGCAGCACCTGTGTATGAAGCATGCTGGTGTGTCAACTCTGATAACTGCAGTGAGATCAGAGTTCTGGATCGTGGGTCTGCGCACCATCGCACGGCGGGTCGTGAGGGGATGTGTCGCGTGCCGCAGGCAGGATTCTCAGCCGTGCTGTGAGCCCGCCGCCCCTCTCCCTCGAGACAGAGTTACTCAGAGCAGGCCGTTTCAGGTCTGTGGGTGCGATTTCGCAGGGCCAATCTTTGCTGTGGATTGTCCTGACAAGAAGCTTTACATTTGTTTGTTTTGTTGCTCGCAGGTGCGTGCTGTACACCTAGAGTTAGTAGACTCACTCTCTCTGGATGATTTTATGTTGGCTTTTCGCAGATTTGCCGCCAGGAGAGGCGTGCCTTCAGTTGTGTATCTCGACAATGCCCGTACATTCCAGGCTGCTGAGAAGCTGATGCAGCGATATTTCGGGCGTCTCGCTCCCAGGTTCAAGTTTTCTGCCCCCCTCGCTCCGTGGTGGGGTGGGCAGTACGAGCGCATGGTGCGTAGTGTGAAAAGTTCTCTTAAAAAATCCCTGGGCCAGCGACACCTCAGTAGGGCCGAGTTAGAGACTGCCCTGACGGAGATTGAAGGGTGTGTCAACTCGCGGCCACTCACCTTTGTTGGTGATTCACCAGACGATCCAGTACCATTAACCCCCAACCACTTCCTGACGGGTCACAGCGTAGGCTTTTTGGCCAAAGAGGCCGAGGACCCGTCTGAGGTCAGACCTGATGAGCTGAGAGCTCGGTCACAGGTAAGAGAAAAGCGACTGCGAAAGTTCTGGACCGTGTGGAGTCAGGAATATGTCAGAAATTTGCCGCTCTCAGTACGCAAATTTCGACCGCAAGGTAAGTTGGCGGAGGGCTCTGTTGTGCTTCTACAAGATGAGAAGCAGCCTCGCTTGAAGTGGGACCTGGGCGTGGTGACCAAATTGTTCCCAGGGAGGGATGGTGTCTCCAGGTCCGCAGAAGTTAAAACTAGCAGGGGCAGAAAGACGAGAGCAGTGCAGCGGCTCCATGACTTGGAGGTCTCTGATCCAGAGTCGTCCTAGACCGGCCGCCTCATCCTCCCCCTGGTCCCGGTCCGCCTGTCCTGCCTGCCGCGGCGCGAAGTTATGGCATTTTTTATTGTACATATATCGTGTGTGTATCGTATGTGTTGGTGAATGATGTCGCGCTCAATGAAACGCTATTCACCAAGGGGGGAGCGTGTTGAGAAATATAGATATAGGTATAAGTAGTGTGGCCGAGATGAGTACGCTCATCGCTCGGTGCAGCAGTGGCGACAGCTATAGGCCGATAGGCCGACGGGTGCTGCCGCCTGGTGGCGCAACTCTTAGCCACAAATTACAGGTAGTTGAGACAGAGGACAGGACGTGCGTACTGCGTAGCATAGCTTGGGTGTGGTCGGCGTGGCGGGTTTTGACACGTGAACGGCGCAGCTGAGGCGAGTGCGGCGATGACATGGCAATGTTGAGTTGGATTTGTTGTGACTGCGTGGCGGTCAGTTGTTGGTTTGATGCAAGGCTATATAAACGGTTTGATGGCTCCCGTGCCTGTGTTGGGAGAGCTTTGATTCCCAGACAAAGTCTATGGCTATGCTACTTAACCTTCGCTCCAGTGGGGGGGGGGGGGGCATATGTTACCACCCTGACGCGTTTTTTGCGTGTGAATAAAAAACCGCGGCGCCGCGCCGCTTGGAGTAGCCTTTTGCACATCAATTTTGGACAATATGTGAAATTTTTAACCCCAGGTCATGTCAGGTCAGGTCACCAGGTCAAGTTAACTGACTAAGCCTAAAAAAGTTTGCAATCATGTCCAGCCTGCAGTGTTTGACAGAGAGGTTTTAAACTTGTTGGATTGCATGATGTTATGGGTGCCTACAAGTTGTTTATCTCGGATTTTTTATATGCGTGACCTAAGGTCAGGTCAGTGACGTGACCTTTCCATTATAAGTCAATGGAGAAAAACGAAAATGCCTCTAGATCCGTGTGTACGCATAGGAACAGTCCAAATATTTCAGAATCACAATGATTTGGACCACCCGTGACGACCAAGGTAACCTTTTTCCTGATAGCCTCTAGAAAGGTCATCCGAGGTCATTTGAGGCTACAAACAGTTTTTTGTCAATAACTTTCGATTGGAAAAAGATAGAACGCTGGGGCTGGCCTAATTGTGTTTGTCTTGCCGAGACGCATCGACTGATATGCAACATGACCTTTTCCGGTCAGGTCATAACCTTGACCTGAGGTCAAATTTTGAAGTTGACCTTTCAAGGTCAAATGATAGTTCATTCGACGCGTCTCGGCGAGAGAAACACGATTCTGGCAATAGAAATGACCTAGCTTTTTTAATCAAAAGTTATTGTCGAAAAACACTTTTCGTAAAAACAGCTATTTTTGGAGTTTTTGCCCTCTGGAGGCTAAACCGTTGACCTGAGGTCATTTTTGATGATGACCTTATCCAACGAAGAGTTCGAAAGCTATCGATTGCTTTCCCAAGCGTTTTTCTAGCTATCATAGTTCCTGAGATAATGGCATGTTCTCTGAAAAATATAATGACAATTCGCAAATTTTGACCTTTGATGACCTCTAGTGACCCCAATATTGCTCTTAGATGAAAAGTGACCGAGACACTTTCAAACGTACGCATCAAGAGCTATCGACTGCTTTTTACCGCGTCTTTCTAGCCCTTTTAGTTTTGAGTTAGAGGTGGGTGGTAACATATCTCCCCCCCCCCCCCCCACTAGGGTGAAGTTGGCTGAGACCGCCACTGGGGCGGGGGTTAAAACCCAATTTCTGGTGTTTGCTCTGACCTTGACCCGACTCGTGACCCCGATATTAAATTTCAATGTACCTACTATCAGACGTGTCTCGTCACGATCTTTCGTACTCTACCTCTCCCGTTTTGCTACGGCTATCGGTTCTCAAATTATCGACTGGGGGGAGGGAGGGGGGGGGGCTGGTTAACTCTCACCCTCTCACCAGCAAGGTGGTGCAGGTGGCACAATAGGCCAGCAACTGCTAGGTTATTTTGCCTACAGAGTTTCAAAAGTATTAAACTTGGTTACGGTTTTGCAGTTTCGCAAAGCAATATTCGTACCTATGCTTAGGTAGTAGCCGCCCACGCCCATCAATACCTTACGCCCACCTACTACTAGCGGGTACCAGCCAGCGATGTCTTACAAAGAACGGAATTAATTTTGCCTGAAAGAGACGCAGAGTTCCATTTGCTCTAATGGTCTGAAAAGGAAGTGCCGGACAAATTGACTTGACTCTAGGAAGCCGTCACCCAATATTCGAAATAGACGTCGCATACATCCTGTCTGCTAATAAATTACTGAAAGCTGTATCTACATAAAAGGCAATTGCTCAGTCAGGGTAGCTCAGGCGAACATGTAATGTACAGGTCTCGCGGGTTTTAGCGGTAGGTGGCTCGGCGAGCGGGAGGGCAACCAGTTCCGCCTCTGTATCGGTGACCATTTGCTCCACCCAGTTACTCGCGAGTGCGTACTACGGCACATAGTAAAGTGGGGAGGGAAGGGTCAGAGTGGCAGCCTGCGTTGAGGCTAGAACCGGTTTCTATCGTCTGGGCCGGAGACACGGCATACGGTCAGGGGACGGGGAAAGGTCAGAGGTCACTCACAATGTGCAGTACCGCGTCCCGTCCTCCTGCGTGCTGACCAGCGCACGACCTCGGCCGTTGGCCAATCGGCATTGAACGGCCAAGGCCACCAGTAGCCAGCGGGCGGGGTGAGCCGACAGCGTGCCGATCCATAGTGGTCCAAAGTTTTAGCCGCTTACCATGGAGGCCGGGAGACGACTGTAATGCTATTGCCTATTTCATGGGAACAGTTCTGTCATTTAACCGTGACCTGCTGAGACTGGAGGTCGTTTAACACCGTTTTGTTTTCTGCTGCACTGTATTTTCAAAACTTTGTCACAAAACTGACCAAGATATAGTTGTATGAATGAAATTACATCACTTTCAAAAGGAAACTAGGCGTAAAAATTTGAGTCTCCACATCACTGAAATCTGTTTTTTTTTCAATATTTTTGGAAAAAAAATCAATGTGAGCCGCTACAAAGGCAAAAAATAAAATGGAATATTCCATAACTCGCACCCATATCGGTGTTTTCGCAGGCACTAACGTATGGGCGGGGTGGATCAGACCTCACAGTTGATCGGCTTCTGATCAAACTAGAGCTTCATGAAAAGAAGGAACATGCTGCACGTGACGAGAGGAAGCCGATGATACCCAATTTTTAGATCATACGTCAATCGTTAACCATAGGTCATACGTTGACCTTCCAAGTCAGGTTAATGACCCAAAGGTCGGAGGGATCGAGACCTGCCTAAAAGTTTTTGTTGTGAGCTTTTAGAGAGAAAGGGAGAGAGAGAGAGAGAGAGAGAGAGAGAGAGAGAGAGAGAGAGAGAGAGTGAGAGAGAGAGAGAGAGTGAGAGAGAGAGTGAGAGAGAGTGAGAGAGAGAGAGAGTGAGAGAGAGAGAGAGAGTGAGAGTGAGAGTGAGAGTGAGAGAGAGAGAGAGAGAGAGAGAGAGAGAGAGAGAGAGAGAGAGAGAGAGAGAGAGAGAGAGAGAGAGAGAGAGAGAGATAAATTAGCCTTCTTAGAAAACGGTCGGTGTATGTATTTATGCGACAATACACAAAATTAAAATGAACCTTTATCCTTCTCACAGCTAGCCTGTTCAAGTGTTTCCATTTCTATATCGCTAATGACCTCGCCTTTAGGCCATGTGACCAGAAACCGGCAGCTAAACTGCGGATATTCTAGGGGCGTGGAAACATTGAAGATTGACTGTGCCGCAATGTCACCCCTAGTGGTTATAAACCTGGCTAGATCGGCTCCATGCGCTCAGCAGATCGGCAAATTTGTAGTTAAACAACCCTGAAGGCACCGGCCAAGTAAGCCACAAGGGACCAAACATCATTTCACATGCTATGACGTTTCTAATCACAAGTCTAGAAATGAGCGGTTAACCCATGAGCCGCTGGGAGGGGGTGGAATAAAGCTGCTACCCCCTTTACGTTTTGTGGAATATCTCCGAAACCTGATGAGATACGAACGTGAAACAATTGGCAAAACTTGGCATGTCATTTCACATGGGATTGACACCAAATTGTAACACAACCTCGGCTAAGTATTCAGGAAGATGTGTGCAAAGTTTCTCTTCTCTATCTCTTCATGTTGCGACGATATCGTCGCAGAAGTAAAGGGGGGGGCAACTGTTGCCCCCCTCCCCCCCCCCCCCCAGCGGCCGGCGGGTGGCGCGAAGGCCCAGTGCAGCGGCCGCCGGGGTAATGAGACCTGACACGCCGAATGCCCATTCTGGCCTAAACGTAATGGGCTCTAAAAAGTGGTCACAGACAAATGGCTATTTTGGTCAGGGTCTTTAAATTTTCAGGGTAGGTGTAAAATATCAAATTGCGGATGGCCTGAACTTATCCCGACTCCTGACCGCATGGATATTTATTTACTTATGGTGAAAAAATAACTTACAGCACTGAAAGCTTCGCAGCTATCCGCCACTTCCTACGCCAGTTATTCAGGAAAAACTGAGGAGAGGGGTTTATTTTATCACCCCTAGTAAAAGGTAGGGTTTGAATTCCATTAAAAGTAAACGGTAACATCAAAAAATAGCATTTCTTTAATATTTCTCAATAAAAACGGTGGGTTCTTTCGTAATGTTAATAAATGTTTATTAGGTAAAAAAAATTATAATCTTATTTGACCATGGCACGACATTTCAAATCTATTTTAAACCTAAACCACCATCCCGTTCGTTCTAGCCCCTCCCGCCTGCCGTCCCCCCCCCCCCCCCCCACCACCACCACCACCACCACACCAGCTGAGTTACAAGGCTGAGGCGAGCGCCTCCCCTTCATGTGCGCCGGGCTCTCGTGACCTCTGGCCTCACCGCCCGAGGGCTCGGCCGCTGTCCAAGGACGCCCTGCGCGGCGGGCCGCAGTGATAGCCTCTGCCGAGTCCCGTCTCTATCCACCGTTCACCACGCGCTGGATTCATTCATGCCTCTGTGTTTCAGCGTCCTACTCGTTGGGTGGCACCACTGTAGTCATAGGCGACTGCAGGGAAGCCGCGGCCAGAATGCCCCAAACGGCAGATTTTGAGGTTTTCTTTAAATTTCTCCGAAACTAGCCGGCATACGATCAAACCTTTTTCCATGATCATGGTAGGGAGCTATACTAATAAATCGGTCACATCTTAAAGCCTGCAAAGCTGAAGACGAAAAAGATATAGCCGGAAAGGCAAAACCTACCCTTAAAACCCGCGAGACCTGTACATATATAATTTTTCGCACAATAATGTACTTGCGACATAACCTTGACATTGAGCTGATAATTGAGCGACATAACCTTGACATTGAGTTGAACTTGACATTGAGCTGATATTTTGCAGCATGCAAGTTTTTTTAGCCCGCGCCCCAGTGGCGGTCTCAGCCAACTTCGCCATAGTGGGGGGGGGGGGCATATGTTACCAC